AGGCCAGTGTGGCTATAGCAGACAAAGCCACATGGAGAATGCTGGGAGAAAAATCAGAGAGGCGGCAGGGGCTAACCCATTTTATGTTTTCTCTGAGTAACATGGAAAGCCACTAGCAGGTTTTTAATCAGAAGAGTGGCATGATCTGACTTATGTTTTGAAAAGATAACTCTGTTGTTTGAGAATAGGCATTGCAGGAGGCATACACATAGAAGCAGAAACACCCCTCGGTGGCTATAATCCAGGCCGGAGACGATAGTGGTTTAGACCAAGGAGAGGTAGTTAATGATGGTGAGAATTGACTGATTCAGGATATAGCTGGAAGGTAGAACAAACAGAATATCCTGACAGATTAGCTGTGGCATATGAGTAAAAAGTGAGGAGGCAAGGAGGACTCCAAGGCTTTGGCTCGAGCATCTGGAAAGATCAAATTGAGATAGACAAGACTTGTGAAAGGGATGATTTTGAGAGGCAAGAATGGGAGAGCTGGACCTGGAGAGTTTAAAGATTCTGTTATAAATCTAAGTGGAGAAGTCGAGTAGGCAACTGGATAATGACTGGGATTCTGGAGAGAATCTGTAATACTTACATCAATTTGGGGTCCACATATCGATGATGTCCAGAGCCAGGAGATGATATCATCAAAGGAGCGAGCGTAGATAAGAAAGAGCAAACCAGAGATGAATCCCTGAGGTGCCCTAGTATTAAGACATCAGCAAGAGCACAGTAGACTGAGAAGTAGAGACTAGAAAAGTAGGAGGAAAGCCGGGAAGGAATCACCTGGAAGCCAAGTGAAAAGAGTATGTGAACAACCAGGAGAGACTCTAATAAGGTCAGGTGGGATGAGGGCTGTGGGTTTACCTGTGAGTTTAGCCATGTGAGGGAGACTTGTTGACATTCTCAAAAGCAGTGATGCTGGAGTTAGGCATGTGAAAAGCTAATTAGAAGGGGTTTAAATAGAATGGGAGAAGATAAATTGGACACACCGCCCTCCGCTCTTTGAAGGAGTTTGCTGCAAATGTTTTAGAGAAACAGAGCAGTAAAGAGAGAGATAGTGGCGTGAAGAGAAGTTTCCTTTAGGACAGGAGAAATAAGAATATGCTGTCAGGCTGATGGTAAATGATCCAACAAAGAGAGAGAATTAATGCAGGAATCAGAGAGGAGCATTCTTGAGGGCTACATGAGAGAAAATGGGATTTAGTATACAAGTGGAGGGACTGGCTTTAGAGCAAAGCATGGGTGGTTAATTTAGTATCTATTAGAAGGCAAAAGATAGGGGTACAGATGCTGATAGGTGGGATTATGAGGTACTGAGAGTCTGTGGAAGTTTTCTGCTGTTTTCTTCAAAAGTCTTAGTGAAGTGGCAAGTGAGATCTTTAATTGAGACTGAGAATGAGGAAGATGGCAGAGGCTTGAAAACAGGTGAGAAGGAGTGAAATAGTCTTCTTGAATTTAGGAGACTGAGAGGGAAAATGGATTGCTGTGCAGCATAGGGCCTACATGAGGAAGGTGGTCTTGAATTTGAAGGGGAACAGTGAGAGTTGTTTTATGTTTTTCTCCAGTTGTATTCACTTGCACATGTGTAAGTGCAGCCATGATGGAAAGTTGAATTCAACCAGTGCTGTGGTTTTGCCCTGGAACTAAAAAAGTAGAGAGCAACAAGGGAATTGGGAATATGTGCATAAGAGTGGCTTTAATGATTAATCACAGGATTGAAACTGGGTTGAGAGGGAAAAATTATATTAAGGAATTGGTGATTATGAAGTGGTGATAAAAATCTGTGGATTGGATGTTCTGGTGAGTTAAAGTATAAGAGGATCTGAGCTAGAAAGAAAGATCAGGGAGAAGCATGCATCAAATAGTATTGGCTGTATCTAGCTAACTACTCTTAGATGTTCAGATAAAGTGGGAAAGATTTTCCTTCTCCACCTGAAAGAGTACTGCGTTGTGCTTTCCTAGGTTTAAAGGGTAAGAATGGAGTCAGTAATAATCAAATGACCTCTACTTTGATTGGCTGGATAGTTGTATGAGACTAAATAGCCACTTATCAGTGTCATTCCAAAAGAGAAACAGGAAAAAAAAAGAAAGCAAGAAGAAAAAAATCTTTGTTGTCATGGTAATAGTTTAACATTGTAATAATTAACGCTTCTCTTAACTGACTAGCTAATCTGTGACTTAAAATATGCACTATTTACCCTATAATTAGGGCACTTGCTTACTAGAACAAAAATGTTACTTCTCTGATCCCTGTTAGAAGGTGCTCTACAGCTGCACAAG